GTAATGTTGCTACTGTTATGAATCGTCATGTAAATATCTGATATGCAGGATGGTCTTAGGTACCCCTGTGAAAGGGTTGTTCGACCGCCAAAGGGGTCGCGACCCACAGGTTGAGAACCACTGACTTAAAGGAAGCACTTTCTGACTTCTCTTTGGCACGTCTGAATCACCACCATGGCTTTGGGGGCCATTATTGAGTAAAATGAGGGTGACGTGAACACAAGCACTGTGTTCTGAGACAGTGGATGTGATACCCCCGACAGCTTGACTGACGGGCAGGGGCATTCTCAGAGCGGAGATGCTGAGCAAGAGGCCGAGTCACCTCGGGGCAGCATGGACAGTGCTCGATGTCGTCACGCTACTCACTATGGTGCACGATTCAAACTCATGAACTGTTTATTGCTGGAATTTCCGTTTAATATTTCAACCTGTGGTTGAGTGCAGGTACCTAGAACGGGGAGAGCCAAATCACAGATAAGGGGACTGCTGTCCGTAAAACTTTTCAGAAAAATAACCACAAACATCCCTACTGACCACTTAAATTCATAAATAACAGGAAGTTCAGCTGCCATAAAAAATGAGAGCGACCAAATGTTACCTTGACATTGGGGTCGCCTTGTCTCAGTGCTGAGAACGCTCCCCGTGCCCGCACTCCCGTCCCGTGGGGCCCATCGTGCTCTCCTGACGTTTTAGATGAGAGTACCTGCATCATCTTCAGATGCCCTTCATTATCTGTCTTCCCTGTAGGATGCAGTATAAATCCTCAACAAAAGAGTGTATGAAGTGCAGTGAGTGGTGCCTAACGCAAGGATGAGGTACTCTACTGTCCTTTGCTGGATCAGAACACACTTCCAGGCATGGTGTGGTCCCGGGGAGCTGAAAAGGGAGTGGCATCTCGTGAAGGCAAGAGTATGAGAAAAAAGACTATTTTATCTTCAGAAACTCGGTGCAGTGGGGGGAGGACTGGCAAGAACCAGAGACGAGGCTTAGAAAAGGAAGAATGCGTATATCTGACCACTTTCACACTGTCCTACTGGTTTTTAAATCCCTAGTGCCTCGAATACAACTTATTGGTCAATAAATGTTCACTGAACAAATTTCCTACCTTGGCAACGCACAAAAGGTAAATTAAAAAGTTCCAAATCCCAAAGGAAAAGTATTTCTTCAAACTGCTTTCTGCAGGTCAATATTTGCAAAATAGAAGGCTAATGTAATGACTTCCAAGAAATTAAATTAAAAATACCATGACAACGCAGGTAACTGATTTTGTTCATTGAAATGGCTAAGATATTCAAATATGGTTTATGTTGCATAACATTTTATTTTCTGATAAGTTACAAATATGAACATAAGGTAAAACTAAAATTGTTCAACCGGATGCAGTGGTTTCCAGCGTTGGTGTGTCACAGCCACCTTTTGTAGCTCATGGAGCCTTTGGACACCTCAGAATAAAGTTTGTTAATTATGCTAAAATCCAGCTCTAACCACAGGCTCTGGTTCTAAGCATGGAGCCCAGTTTAGGAACTCCTGATAGAAGATACAGGTTAACCTGGAAAAGCAAACAACAGATACTTTTTGCCTAAATATTCTAAATATGTAGTATTCATAGTATTAAAAAAGTTCATAATAACTTGCCAGATTAAGGTTTTACATAAAGTTATTTAAAGCTTATAGAATCTTTGAAGATTTTCTCTGTGGTAGTAGTATACAGGTTGCATCCACTTCTTGCTCTTATTATGCGCACATACTGCAATGCAAAATCTAAAGTCATTACAGCGATACAAAATTAATAATATACTAACGCCACATTTGTATCATCACTAATTTCTAGCTAGCTCTCCACAGATGACATAAATGAGCACAGTCCCTCCTTTCATCCAAGAGCCCGTGAGCAACATGAGGCTAAATTGACAATCTTTTGGGCCCAGGCATACCAAGCAGCTCTGTGTCGGAATACTGCCAGCTGCAATGAGGAGCTACCTCCGCAGGCTCCCTGAGGTCTATAATTGAGAAACACCTTATCGTTAGAGCTGTCAAATAAGAAGACGTGCTGGGTAGCTTAGTAAGACAGCGTCTCTGTGGGACAGCTTCATCTACCACTTTGCAGATTTCAAACGTATTTTCAGACAATTGGAGGGTAAAGCAATGTCCCCTGTGGAATGGTAGGCCAGTGAATTCCAAACAGTTCCCGCAGGCAAAATGCCTCTGACTGTGACTTGTAAATGTGGATTTCACCTTAAAATAGATCAGCTTTTCATAATTTAACTCTCTGTCCTGCAGAAACAAACTTCTAAGCCATATAATTCCAAAATTTATTTCCTAATACTTCAGTTTACAATATTTACTTGACACTAAATAATATAAAAGACCTTGAGTCACAGAACACACTAAATTAGGTGTTTTGTGATTTTCTTTTCTTTTTAAGGAAAAAAAGTACACTAGGTGGAAAAGGTGCCCCTGCCCCATTAAAATAGCTATCTTTTTAGAACCTACTTTTTGTAACGTCTAGAGAAATAATATTAATGGATTGCCTATTACTATCAAGTTCCAACTTACCATCTACCAAAATTTATAAAAACTTTTTCAAAAATTAATAGGGAAAAAGAAATGTGTATTCTTGGCACTTATTTTTTATACACTGTCGGAAAGAATACACATCACACCAGTGAGTTTAATTTGTGAACAAATTTAAATAAATCACTTTCATGATTTAGGTCCAGTCATCACGAGCCTGGTCGCGCTGTCCAAACAGCTAATTTCAAAATCCTTTAAAACGTAAAGCAAAAACAAAAACCTTGTTTTTTCAGGCCATACTTAACTCCTACCTACAGTGAGTTAGTCCATTTGGAATTCTTATGACAATGGCAGATAAATCACATACTGCTTTTGCAAAAATAAGTTTTGTTTGTTTAATTTCTCTTCAACAGTTCACAGGATCTTGCCCTAGCCTAGCCCATATCGTGGAACTTAAAAAAGAACGGGAAAATAAAACTAACCAGTTAAGTATCCATTTAGCCAAAAGTTCACTTTGTGTCGGCACTGGCGACTCCTTTTCAATCCTGAGAACCAGCCGTGCTTTTCCTTCAAGAGCCCAGAACTACAAGCGAATCAGACCCCCTCAGCACAAAGCACTTCCTAAGTTTACTGTCGAACATCCCTCAAAAAACAGCCTTGAAAATGCCCTACGGAAAACCTCCCCTCCCCTCCCCTCCCCCCGCACACAAACTGGTTTTTCCCAGATAAAGCAACATTTGGCAAATGGCTGGGTGACACGTTAAGCCTCGCGGTGCACTTTGCAAGCCTCGCGCTGATGCAGAAAACTCTGCAGCGGGTAGCAAACCCCGAGGCGTTCAGACGGCAGCTCCGGGACCCTCCCGGCACCTGCGCAGGTGCCTCCTGTGCTCCGACGTGCAAAAGGCGCTGGTAGACGTCCCATAGGTGACCGTTCAGAAGCTAAACATTAACTTTGGAAGTGACTCCTGCCCCCCAGCAACCAGCAGCCCAGGGGCTCTCCCGGATCCGGTCACCTGTGGTCTC